CTTGACAGAGGTCTTCTGCATGGACACGGCGGGGGATCCCCTTCACCTGGCTGGCCCCCCGCTACAGTGCTGGCGATTCGTCCTGCTCTGCCCTGTGTATCCCAGAGCTTCCTCTGTGCAGGCTGACGATGTTGGTATAAGACGGGTCCCTAACCCCCAGGAGCTCACGACCCATGGGGAAGACAGGCTTCTTACACTAGTGACAGTGCATGGAACGTCCCCAGTGAGGGCCACTCGTTGAGGGCACAGGAGTCCACAGAAGCGTCTCAGGGAGACAGCGCCAGACCTGGACCCTGAGGATGGTTAAGACCAAAACGGAGGAGAGTCTGGGAGAAGCGCTTTCTGACCTGGGGCTGCTCCTCCAGGTCTGTGAGACCGCCGCGACCTTGGGGCTGTCACTGGAACATCAGGACTTGGAGCCACCCATCGACATGAATTGTGAAGCTGTTTGTTGGCTAACGCAGAAAGGAGGAAAGCAGCAGGAAGTATTTAATGAAACGTTCCGAAGTCCTTTGGTACTTGTGGGGGCAGTTCTTCCAAGTTTCAGAAGATTCATTGGCAAACTTTTTGGCATGCCAGCCATCAATATACAATTTTTACCTGGAGCACAAATTTCTTACAGAATTTTCCAGGCTACGATCAGTCATTCAACACACGTTGACTGTGTGCTAAGTGCATGCGACACGGGCCCCACCCTGAACAAGTGATCTCATGAGAGGAGGGGGGGCCTGGTGCCCACAAAGCCGACTGGGGTCCACGTCACGGAAATGCAACTTTTAAACTAGTGTCTGAGGCGGGGGTGGGTTGTAGGAAAGCAAGATGAGAGAAGGCAGTGGTGGGCGTGAAGGAGGAGGACACATCCGTACTGCCCTGGACTTCTGGGTAGGTTCATGACAGCACAATCGGCATGAAGAAGGCGTCCAGAATGATGGTGACGGGGGAGGCTTCAAACAGTGGGACGTGTTCTTATTGGGACGGAGTCGCAGGTTAGTAAAGTGAAGTCTGGACAAAGGACAATGCTATCTGGGCACCATTGGTGGCTTTTGAAGCAGGTGGTATTGTGACCAGAAATGCCAGCCTGTGAAGGAACCAGAAAGGGGATGTGAGAGAGGATGGAGGAGGAGGCCACGGCAGCAGGAGGACACCCACCAGCAGTTCTGTGTCTATAAGACCCTCATCTCAGCATCTTTTCAACTTAAATAAGAAAAGTCTATAATATTGATGTCATCCAAAGCTTAAGCAACGGTTGTCAGAACAGAAAAAAAGCAGCTCACACATGTGCCAGAAATGGTGGAGTTTATCCCAGGCCTTGCTGTTTAGCTCCAGGTGGAGACGTTAGCAGCAGCTTCTGTTTTCATTCTGCTTTCCTTCATTTTCTACATGTGCTATTTATGGAATAAAAATTAGTTGTTGTTTTTTTAAACTAAGCCCTCCTCCCATTCCTACCACACACACACACACACACACACACACACACACGCGCGTTAAAGGAAAGTATTTTAAATGTCCGCTTTCAGCACACCTACAGTTGGGGGAAGAACGTGCATCGTGTTTAAATTTCATGTTAACTCACCTGATTATTCCGGGCGGGGATGGTGTCTGGGGAGGATCGCTACACCTGTTCTCACACCCGTGACGGGAAGGGGCCTCATAGTATTGAGCTGTGGTGGCAGGTTTTGCATTTGTATAAAACACGTTCGTTTACTGCCAAGGCCTAGCTTCCTGACAGACAACATGAAACATACTCTCATGTCTCAGAAGAAAAACATCTAATCCACAAACAGGAAGAGCAAAAGCTCCTCAGACGTGGATGGGAATCATGTCCATTGAACACAGTGAGTGATGTTCTGTAAAAATACTAATAGGGAAACAACGAATAGGTCAAATTGAAATGACCGGAGCAGGGCAAACACAGACGAATGTAGCAATACGTGCTGAGAGGATGAAAACTTTATCTCAGTTTTAATATAATCAAGTGTATCTTTAGATGAGCTCATTCTCAATGAAACAAAGTAATAATGTTCGTAACTACTGTTTCCTCCCTGTGTCACTCAAGCTTGCGTACTACAGTCCCAGTTGATACTTCTTGCCGTAAGTTTAGAAATTCAAGTCAACTTGCAGCATGATTTCACTTTCCACAGTTAAGATAAATGTGAAAATTTAAACAGCTGCAGTTTACAGGAATTAAGATAATATCCGATGCCCCTTTTGCAGACGACATTTGAGACCTGATTCAACCTGCCAAGGTTTATCATTTTAGAATCCATCACATTTTATTGAAAGAAGCTCATTCATTCATGATGGATTTTGTGAACAGAGTATTTTCCAAAGAAAAGTGAGGATCCCAAATCGTTTTGCCAGAAACAGTTTTACATCCATTTGTAAGACTGTACATTAACCAGTCTTGGGGAAAGTAACCACAGAAGCACTGAGACTGTACACTTTACCCAGAACTACCCCTCCTTCCCGGGGACCCCCGCACACACATTTTAAGCTAGATAATAAGCTAGTTGGTATTTCCCCAAACTTAAGTGTCATCCTTATTAGGGTAACTTTGGTACAAGAAATACGTATCTGATATTCCATAATGATTGTCCCAAAAGAAAGCATTCTGTGTTTACATGTTCTAGATTGTGCCCTTAAGTTTGCTTCTTCCCCACCCAAAGAAACCTGTGAGCTGTGTGGGCACCAGGGGCTGGCAGTGGCCGGGCACTTAGAACTGCTGCGATGTTTCTGTTCCTGATGAGGGTGAGCTTCTGAGGTTCACGGTCTGTCCCTGAAAAGGGGTTCATGGTCACAGTTCTCGGTCTTCTGCATAAAAGACCATCTGCTGGTTCCCTAAGCGGCTGGAGCAGGGGGCTGAGGGATATGTGACCGTCACCCAGGGCCCCGTCGCTGGCCCTCCCGGAGCCATACCTGCCGGGGGGCCCTCAGCTGCTGGGCCAGGCGGCCCCGAGGGTGACTTCTCCCCTGGAACATCGCCCACCAGGCACCCGGCTTCCGAGCTCTGGTTCAGCTCACGCACATTGATACACACACCAGTCAGACCAACATGGACTACAGTCGGTGTTTGTTGAGTGAATAATACAAGACAGTTCAAGTCGCTTTAGTCAACATTTCCCTGAGAAGTGTGGGACCCCAGCACGACTGTCTGGTGGACTGTCCTTCCTTTTCTCATGCCTCTCTGTCCCCTGGAGTGGGTGCCGATGAGCCGGGGTGGCCAAGAGCAGTGGGGGGGATGATCCGAGCCGGGTGGTCAGCTGGAGTGAGTGGGCGAGGGGGCTGACGGAGGGGTCGGGGTGATGTGGGACGGGTGTAAGCTTTGGCCGGACATCAGGGTGCCTGACCGCTGGAGACCTGGCCTCGTGTGTGCGTGTGTGTTTCATTTTGCTGTGCGGGCATGTTTGAAGACCCACAAGCAAGATGTTAGAGGATGGGACCACTATCTCCTTTGGGTGCGATAAAGCCACCCGGGTTGGTCCTTTGAAATGCTCTTCCTTAAAATCACAGTCGTTTCTGGACTGAACAGATCAATAAGGTGAGTAGGCAGCACTGGCTTGGGAGTCTTTGTGGAGGGAACGTTCTGGAGGCCTTTGTTTCCCCATCCAGTTCTCCTAGTATCGCTGCCAACAGACAAGTGCCTGACAAATTAAGATCAGAGCAGCTGTGGGTCAGATACTCGGGTTGTTGTTTTTGTTTTTTAACACTGCCAGCCACGTGACGCTGCACACATCAGTGCAGCCCAGTGTCTTAAATGCAGCACCCCCGGTGGGTTCAGAAAAGCCAGCCAATTTCAAGAAAAATGACTTCTGTGCCAACAGAAACGGGAGCGGGGGCAGCCCTAGTGAAGGCCCCGTCTGAGCTCCCTGCCCTCGACTGTGTGGCGAGTGGCGGGATTGTCGTCACCGCTGGTGACACCTGTGCTCCCTCCCTGGACTGGGGCCTGTGCGCATAGGCAGCCCTCATCTGGGGACTAAACGGCAGCCATGGTGCCGGGCAGGGTCCCCCCGCCTCCTGGCTGTCCCCACCGGGACCCCTGGCTGAGCGCCTGGCCCAGGCTCTGGAGGATCTTGGGAGGGTGTGGTTTCTGTTTCTGTCCAAGAGAAACCACTTGGACACGATTTTGCTTGGATAATACAATAGTTTTCAAACAGTGTGTTCCGTAGTTTTCACTGAAAATATTTCAAACAATTATTGCATCATAGTATCTGTTGGTAAGCAGTGGTTCTCTGCGATGGGGAAAAAGAAAATGAGACTGAGTGCAGAGCATGACAACTGAGGTGCTTTCTCAGACTGAAGTTACTGACAAACACGTTTCTGTGGGCCCTGTTTTTTAACCCAGCTCCAGCTCGCTTCCTCCGTGTAGCACGGTGGTAGCTTCTTCGTGTATCTGAGCACGTTCCTTCTTTGACGCAGAGAGCAGGGTCCTCCTGTGCGTGTTTCCAAGCACAGAGGCAGACCCGGCTCCCAAACCTCCCTTACTCCTGACCTCAGAGCCTGGATGCCCAGCCAGACATTCAGGGCCCCTGGGCTCTCTCTGTCCCCAGCCGCACCGGACACACCTGCACGCGTGCCTGCCCCTCCCCCGCGCTGTGTTAAACCTCTTCCCACAAAGTGCGGCGCCATAAGCCTCCGTGACTGCGCTCATCCCGTGACCTCGCTCCTGGCTGGACACACATCCCACCTCTGGGCTGGCGCATCAGACCTGGTCTGCGGTGTGTGCGTCTGTTTTCACGGTCGCTGGGTGTTCTCACTGCCCCCCTTGGCACCGCGGCAAACGCAGCGTGACCACCTTTGAACCAACCACCAAAGCACGGGGCAGCCTTTGCCGCACCCTCTGCGTCTGGTTAGCCCTCGGCCCTGCACCAGGCCCCGAGCCAGCCCTACCCCCCTTCAGCAGGGGAACTGTGGGCTGCACCCCACGGGCCGCCCGGCGTCCCGTCACCGCCAGGGGCCCGCGCCCTCCCGGCTGGCGCTCCTGACTCTCGTTCTCCCTCCAGGCCTACATGGAGGACCACCTGAAGAACAAGAACCGCCTGGAGAAGGAGTGGGAGGCTCTGTGTGCCTACCAGGCCGAGCCCGACAGCTCGCTCGTGGCGCAGAGGGAGGAGAACGCGCCCAAGAACCGCTGCCCCGCAGTGCTCACCTGTACGTACCGCCGGGGCTCTGGCCGGGAGGGCGGCCGGTGGCGGTAGGGATGGGCCGCACCTGCCCCCCGGGATTTCCCGCTGCGCTCGCGCGGCTGCAGCGTCCTCCCCTCCTGCCCGTCTGCCCTCTCTGCCGGCAAACGTCCTCTCACTTCATTTTTTTTTTTTAATTTTATTGAAGTGTAGTTGATTTACAATGTCATGTTAGTTTCAGATGTACAGCAAAGTGATTTAGTTATACATAGATAAGTAGATAGGTAGATAGATGATACATAGATAATAGATAGATGATATATATAGAGATGATAGATAATAAATAGGTAGATGATAGATGATAGATGATAGATGGATGATATATAGATAGATGAGAGATGACAGATGGATGATAAGATAAATGATAGATAGATGATATATAGATAGATGATAGATAATAAATAGGTAGATAGATAGACAGATGATAGATATTCTTTTTCAGATTCTTTTCCCTTACAGGTTATTGCAAAATACTGAGTAGAGTTCCCTGTGCTGTACAGCAGGTCCTTGTGGGTGATCTATTTTATGTATGGCAGTGTGTACATGTCAATCCCATGTTCCTAACTTATCCCCCCACCTTGCCCTCTGGTAAGCATAAGTGTGTTTTCTATATCTGTGGGTCTGTTTCTGTCTTGTAAGTAAGTTCATTTGTGTCATATTTTAGATTCCACATGTAAGTGATACCATATGGCATTTGTCTTTCTCTGTTTGAGCTACTTCACTTAGTATGATGATGTCTGGGTCCATCCATTCATCTCACGTAAAGGGCAGGGAGACCACCACCCTCTGAGCCTGCCCCCGACACCAGCCTCGAAACACAGAGCCGTCTCTTCCTTCCGGCCCCGCGGCCGAGTGCTGGAGCCACGGGCGGGACACAGAGATCCCAGCGAGCACTTGCCGTTGCTCTGGGATGCGAGGCTCGTTTCTGAACCCTGGAGCCTCATCCTCACCTGTACTTGGCCTCACACCGTCGTCCTTGAACACTTAGGGCCATGAGGAGTTGACAGGCAGTCACGTGGGCCGGGCAGGCTGTGGGCACAGCAGGAGCAGACACAGGTGCCCCCGCAGCCTTCAGCCCGACAGTGTGTCACCAGCATGGCCAGGAGTCACTGCCAGGAGATGGGGACACAGGAAGGTACCAGCCCTGCAGTCTCACACTACGTGAGGTGACGAGTGACCTACAGGTGCGGAGGCCCACGGAGGACTAAAGGAGGGGCGGGCCGAGTCTGTGTCTTCCCACCCACCTGCACCTCCTCTCCTCCTGTCACTTTACTAGAGCCACCAGCCTCCTGTGTCCTAGCAGGTTCCAGGCCGGTCTGGGCTGTGGTTACTACACATCCCCCTGCAGGGGGAGGGGATCTGGGGGGTGTCTGTGACCAAAGTGTCTGACGTAAATGCCGACTGCACGAGTGACTGTCGTGGTGACGGAAGACGGGAGAGATGCGTGCAGACCTCACACACGGCAGGAGGAACTTTGTGGGCTGACTTTTCGAGGGCTCAGCCTGGGGCTCACAGGCAAGACCAGCCCCCTCGCAGGGAAGCACGCCCGGGGTCACAAGCCCCGTCCCAGCCTTGTGGAGCCAGTGGGGACCAGCCTGACACCACCCAAAGGCGCGGCCGGGCTGCCATCCCGACGCCCCCCGGCCTGGGAGACGCAGCAGCAGATGTCCTGTCTTGTAGCAAGTGGCAGCGACTCCACGCCTGCTCACGGGACAGCGAGAGCAGAGACACACTCCTGTGCTGCTCTAGCCCCAGCCTGGGAATTACACACCTTTGTAAATTCTTAACACGCTGCTTCTGGGTGTAAGTCTTTTCTAACGGTTTAGTCAGTGTTCAGACTAGTTCTGTGACGTCTGAGGGCCTTTTCCCTAAAGAGCTCTAAAAATAGGAGCTGTTGCGATTTGTAAGTTTTATGTTTAGCAGAAAAGACAGTAACTGACACATGTTTATTAAGCACCTACTTGTGCCAAGAGCTGCTGACAGACGCTGGGTCACCCAGTCAACCAAGCTTGGCCACTGTCCTCAGAGAGGATCCAGGTTAGGGGGTGCGAGGGTGTTCCAACTACACCCTAAATAATGTGGTGTTGGGGGCAGACCGTCAGCCTGGATCCAGTGTGCTCCCAGGCCTGGAGGCTTCCTCGGGTGTCAGGCCCTGTAGGGTAAATACTCAAGTTCAAAGCATCCCTTCCACCGAGCCAACCACAACACGGCACGTTCCCGTCCACGCGCCCTGCAGCCCGGCCGGCCACTGGGCTCCGTCTGTGCCGAGTCAGCGATGGGTCCACAGGCCAGGACCTCAGGCACGTGGGGTGTCCTGTCTTCAGCCTTGGGGTGGTGCTTCAGCCCTGCGGGGACCAGGGCCTCGGGCCTGCCATACGTGGGCCGGAGCCAGGGCTCTGAAGAGGAAGCGCCTTCCTGGCTGGACTCTGGCGCTGGGCGTTAGAGACAGGCCACTGTTCTTGACCGGCATGGCTGTCCCAGAGCCTGAACTAGGTTGTCGCCTGTCCGGGGTCCTGCAGGAAGTAGGGGCCAGTACCCTGCAGAGACAAGTGGGCAGATAGAGCCTCCCCAGACGCGCAGGTCCAGTCCCAGCAAGTGCGTCCCCACCTTTGTCCTCCACACTCCTGCCTCCTTAACTTTTAGAGGAAATCCTGTCCTCAGATCTCCACCGGCATCTCTTCCCAGGCAGGACCCTCCGGCGATGGCCTCACTTAAACTCTTACTGGTCTCGCCAAACTCTACCAGGGAGAACCGCCGCCTCTTCCTGAAACCTCTCCGTATTGTCCGGCTGTTCACTCCTTATGGCGCAGAAACGGTCCGTGATGGAGCGTAGGGCGTTGACAGGGTGGCCTCCACGCGCCCCGCTCCCTGAAGCCGACGTCGACGCCCCAGCCGGGGACAGTGGGGTGTGCATGACAGTGTCCTGTGTTCGACATGCTCCCCGCAGCACCCACCCGTGTCACTCAGCCTCACTCGGGGCTTGGGATGGAAACCCCAGGGCCATCTGTCTCTGCATTTGCTCCTTTTGCCCTTATCCTCTCCCGTCACCTCCAGCGAGGCCCCTCATTTCTGTATCTGACGGTACCGGCCCACTCTGCTCCCTCCTACCCCTGGCTGGACCCCACCTTCCTGCCTTTACTTCCCTCCATGAAGCAGCTCTGCTCCTGCCCCGCTTCTCCTCATGTCCATCCTCCACCCAGGAGAGGGGAGTTACTGCCTGGCTCCCTGGTCAGCGGCCCCCCGGGCCACCCACCCGGACCCCGCCCACTCCGGCAGCGTGCAGGCTCCCCTCCTCCCAGCCCCTCCACATCTTTGCTCGTCTGCTGCCCCCGAAACGTCTCTCCCCCCACCTCCGCCAACTCGAGGGCCGTTCCAGCTGAGGCTGGAAGCCGTCCCAGTTGGCAGTTTGGTGGGATATTCAAGGGCGGCCGGGCTAGCGACTTTCCCGTCCCTGACAGCCCGGAGATTCTAGCTACAAGTGACTTGTCTTTCAAAGGACAAGGCAACTAGCGTTCACGAGATGTTGGCTGGCCATGCGCTAGGTCTAATTCTATAGCTCAGAAGTTTAAAGAATTTAATTTTTAAATTCTTTTTTTTTGCCTTTTTAAAAAGAATTATGCAATATTCCGCTCATCTGTTTTTTAAATTAAAAACAGGAATATGATGCTATTTTGGTGTGCAATCTTAAACAGAAAAATGTTTGTGATTCTGAGTTATAATAACAAGAGAGAGACACAGAGACACAGGAATACTTAGACATGAAACCAGAGAGAACGTAAAGCCAAAGACACAGGCACGTGAAGATGGACAGAAGGGTCTGTGATGCCGTTTCCCGCAGTTCAGCTTTCTCGGGCGTTGCTGCTGACGCAGCTCACAGCTCGGCCCCCCGCCTTGCCCCGAAGACGGGCCGGGTGAGGGTCAGAGCGACTCTGGCCCGGCTCTTCCCGGGAGCCACGTCACCTGGTGGCACCAGGCTTCGGCCACGTGTGACAGAAAGGCCAACGGCCAGGCTGAGCACATCGAGTGCGGCCCCCGAGCGCCCCGGGCCCACCCCCCAGCCCTCCTGCATCTGCCCCCCGTCGGACAGATGAGGGTGTTGGGGTTCGAGCCCGGGTGCCCTGTGTTGACGGGACACCAACCCCTTGTGCTTTTGTGGACTCACCTGAGACTTTCTGAGTCGGGAACAGGAACACAGACTTCGAACTTCCACAGAAGGAACGTCGAAAATACATCCAAGGCCCGCGGTACTTGACAAAGCATCGCTTCCCTTGAAACACACAGAAAACTATCTATTTCCAGACAAACCTTTGGTTTCCATATTTTTCCCAACTCCCAGCAGAACCCCCGCAGCGAGTATTCTGGTTCAGCCCCATCTGAGTGACCTGCTCAGCCTCTAGCCATCAGTCGTGGGAAATTCTCCTAAATCCGACAGGCAAGCAGGATTTTCTTCCCCTCACGTAAAGCGGCTGCACGAGAAGCTAAGTGTCCAGAGAAGTTGCTGACTTGGCTGTCTTTTTGTCACTCCCTTTTTTCGGCCTCTGAACCAGCTGAGTAACTGCCTCTGGATTGGGGAAGGCTGTAGGTGTGTTGGTGGCGACAAGAAACTATCCAGCCAATTCTGTGAAGGCTTTTCCTTTGCTACATCACAGCAGAAGCTGGGCTGCCGGAGACTGAAGAGCTTTTAAGGGACACGGGGAGGAGGCGCCCGGGCCTTCCCGTGGGGCTGTGCATGTGCGGAGCCTCTGGAGGTGGGCCCCTGGGCTGTGGGAGCGCCCCGCCGGAGCCTCCCCAGGGCAGAGGGGCTGCTTGCGGGCTGGGGGCCGCGCCACCGTCTGCACAGTTCAGCACTCAGGTTCAGCTTCTGCCCTCTCTTCACTCCTTTCCTTGAAGCTGGGCCACTGGATGTGTAAGACATCCAACCTCCTGTCGCCGGGTGTCTGTGCTTCTCCCCGTCCCATTCCGATGCTG